GGGGTTCTAATACACTGCAACCTAAAAGATCTATTGTGTCTCCTTCTGTCGTTAATGTAGCAAGGAAATGTCTCGATGTCTATAACGAACCTCCCAATCCTATCTTCTCAAGGAAGTGTAGGAATTGGAGTGTGCTTCTAGGTTTAGTGCTCTTGTATTCTAAATTGCTACACAGTCAGTCAGAATATGAATGGATGTTCCACTTTCCTCCTTACATATTCTTCTACTACTCTCAGTGTACTAAAGGTTTCTTTGTGTTGGCGATGTCTGCTAAGGATCCCTGTTAAAATGCATAGCTTGTTCTGTTTCAGGAAGATACAGGCTTCCTAACTTTTTTAGTTAGCCTTTCTAGCTCCAAGAGATTGTTCCAATTATCGGTTCTTCTACTGCCCAATTCTTTTTTATTCTCTCCTATTATTGTTTTACTTCTGATACTGTAGAACGGCTCAGGTTTCACAAATGGTATTTGAGCTCCTTTCCTTGTGATACTATCTGCAATCTCCTTACCCTTTACCCCATTATATTCCGGAACCGAAATGAGAGTAACTTTATTTTCTTCGCCTAGCTCATTCAGTTTTCCTAGGCATCTCCAAACAATTTTTGAACTGATTACGTAAAAGGTCAGCGCTTTGATGACTATCTTTTGTCTACGATAGTTTCTCTCGATATTAAACTGGCTACACTTCTCACAGTGACGGATTTAAGCTTGCTGCCGCCCTAGGCCCCGTTCGATACACCGCCCTAAATTTTTTTCTATAACCACTCATATTTAATTCAAACATAAAATCAAAACTACCACAAATTATAAAGAAAACCAGTGCATAAATTGAAGTTATCGATCAATTCTTTTTTTTATTATTAAGAAACAGAATAGAATAATTCGAGACTTTTACACATGAAGAGCATTCATAAAACTAAAATGATTGCTATGACTTTTCTACAGCGCGAAGTGCGATGTTTTAAAACCAAGTCAAACACGTCAGTACCTGTCAAGCGTAGCGTTTTTGTTTTCTGTAAACATGTGAAATACACACCCGAACTACTTATCTCAATAATGCACAATACTCCCGCTTCACTGAAGTTATTGAGCTTACGATCACATAAATAAAACACTCAGATAATAAATAAAATTCTTAAAACTTTTTATTTATATTTATAATAACCACATAAATGTAACCATATCATAAGTATACCGCTTTAATATACATCAGCTCACATACTTGAATTTAAAAAATTTCAAAATTCTTGCACTTGGATTTTCAGAATTTATTGAAATTTTTAGATGTAATTGAAGATTTTGCAAATATGAGAAATATCGAATTAATTTTTTTTTATTTTAGATAAAACTTTCAATTTTTTAACAGTTATTTTGATGAATTAAAAAATTGAATATGGAAAAAGACAGGATATATTTTTCATAAAAAATTATTTTTATAAACAAAAAATGTTCCGACACTTTTAAATGAATATCATAACGATATTCAATACCCCTGAATTAAAAAAAAATATTGAGACAAAGAAAAAAGTATTGAAAAGTATTGGATTGAATAGAAAACCAATACTTTTTCTTTATGTTAATACTTTTTTTTTAATCAGGTACATGCAAATCTTCGGTATTTTTAATTCACACTATAAACAAATAGAGTCATTCGGATTTAATAATTTCAAAATGTTTCATACACGTAAGATTAATTTCACTAAAGGAACAAAAAGTAAAGAATAGTACTCGATAAAGACTATAAAAAATTAATATGTTACCTATTCAGATTAAGAAGTAAATTAATGAATTTAATTATAATATTTTCTATCGAAATTTTTTTATAAAAACTAATCTGAACCAATTTTTGAAATTGATTGTCTTTACTTTTTTGTTCCTCTAAAATTTTGGCATTTCATAAATTTTGCCGCCCTTCATATTATGCCGCCCTAGGCCCGGGCCTCACGGGCCTAGGCGTAAATCCATCACTGGCTTCTCAATGGTGTGAATTTCCGCTTGGAAGATGCTTGTGTATTTTCACAAACTTACAGAGTGCCCGGTTCTAAGCCCATACACTTCTATTTTAGTTCCTTCTATGGTTTTGAAACCATCTGTATGCCACTGAATAGCATCTCTTTCGATTACAAGCGCAATGGATTCTTGAATCCATTCTTTCTTGCAGCCTAGCTATGTTTTTTAAGTGTTTCACAAAACTGTACTTTCATTTTATCCTGGGGCATATCCCAAGTGTCGTCGATCATGAAGCTAGTAGACTTTCGTCTGATTACTCTGTTCCTCCATTTCATGTCCTTTCTCCATCATTAAAGGTAAAGGGGCGAGATTAAAGGTGCCATTTCGGTAGGCGCGTAAGGAGAGACAAGGAGACAAGAGACCACCGAGGCGACCCCAAGGTCGAGTAGGACGACAGATGCATAAATGTTACGCTTCGTACATTTTGGAAGCTTGAGAAGTGTCGCGCGATACTTACAGGATAACCATTCGAGGAAACGATCAGCGTTGCCAGACCTACTGTTTTTACGTAGATCCACTGTTTTTGTCTCTAGCAAATTTTGTTCTTAATTTATTAAGTTTGCCTCATTCTTTAGCAAATGGTTAAAGAATATTTTCTCTAGTAAATTTTCTGCAGTAAAAGCAGCGTAATAAGCATCCACTACTCTAGGTAGGCTCCATAACAAAAAAACATCAATATAATCATTGTTTTTATTTAAAATGAAACAAAGAATTAAAAGGGCATCATAAAAAGAACATGCACACTACGATTTTGAATTATCTAATTCAGACTGATCTAAAAGAAGTAGGTACCTATTATTTTTCATTGTTTTTTTTTGTTTCCGTACGTTAAGTATATATTAAAAATGTTATTATTTGTTTTTATTCTTTGTTTACCTTCTAATTTGGGTCGAAAAAAAAGTTTATTTTTCGTTTCGTATATACTTGTTTTTTTATTTATTACACTGCAAATTTTAATTATTTCCCCCTGTAATAAAATCTACTGTTCAGATCTACGGTTTTTTTTGTTCCAAAATCTGGCAACACTGCCTAGATCGAAAGAAATGTTCAACCTATTTACCTCCAAAATAAAGCGATGCTCAAGGACAGTGACCTCGAGTGCGACAAGCAGCAAACCTTTGCCCCGAGTCAGATTCAGAAGTGTCGTCTTGACGACACTTCTCGTGTCGCACCGTGCGAAATGTGTTTCATATATGTATTTTAGATGTGAAGCGACACTTCTCGGTCGCGTCGGCGGTCGTATGTCGCGTCGGCGGTCGTCTGTCGCGCCTACCGAAATGGTACCTTAAGGATCATTTTTATTGTCAACATTGGTTTTTCATGTACATTCTGTGTACCATTTTGTAGAGTTCAACTCAAACGGTTGCCGAGTTTTTAAGTTTTCGTATTAAATTTACCCAGATTAGGCGGACAATCCAATTCTGCCCTTATTAATAAAATTCCCTCTGAAAAGTCACTGTTATTAATGTATACAAGCGCGTACAATTTTTTGTCTAATTTTTTTTTCATCCCTCTATTTTTCAACTTAGTTTTTTCATCTATATTTTGTCAAGCTGGGAACTTTCTACTCGAAATACACATGAGATTTTTTATTCTATAAAATGTGAATCAGACCAGTCATGCTAAATAATCGTATGTTCTAGCTTACAAGGTTAATGTTAATAGCTCTGATTGTTGCAGTACTGTTTTAAGAAGAGAAGTGCGATGTCATAGAAGAAGTGCGTTGTCATTTTTCGAAAGCTCCTGTTGAGTGACTGGACATCATGTATATAAGACTAATTAACGATCAAAGTGTCTAATTCATTTCCAGTTAAATCCAATACCTACATATTTAATAATTACTATTAATTAACTATTGTTATTAAGCAATTACAATAATAATAGTGTGCTAATTAATTTATCAGAAAAATGAAATTGCATTGGTTCTATGATCAATATTAGCCAATAATTAATAAGTTTCATATTAAACATTTGTCACGTTTTCTTTAATTGAGTTTTATTTTTCAGTTTCCTGGCCTGGCTACCCCGTTTTCTCATAATAATTTATAAAAATGTGTAATGAAGGAAAAATAAAACTACGGGATTACATAAATTAAATTTTTCTGAAGGTAAATAAATATATTGTGTAATATTAAAAATAATGATAGTTATTATTATATTAAACTATATACGTCATTGGCTAAACTAATAACTAGCATTAAGAATTTAATTCTATTTCCTTAATGAAAGCCATTTGTTCGTTTTAGAGCCCTACGTTAAATCAATTTCAAATTATAACCATAAACAATCCTTGTAACAAGACTCTCACATACTCTCATAATAATTTGACAAAAATGAGTAACGTGAATCGATTTTTGCAAACAAAATTAGTCTAGTAGTTGTTCGTAGTTAATTAACAGTGTCTTGCCGCAAGGTTATGGAAATAGTTTGTTGTACTACTGTTAAATCTAATATATAACTGCAAGCACCGGTGCACAGACTTCTACTTCACTCAGGTACTCACAGGCCATGGAGTGTTTAAAAAATACCTACACAGGTTTAAAAAAGCAGAGACAGAAGATTGCGTATACTGCGGAGCCTCAGACACATTGCCACACACTTTGTTCAAATGCTCTAGATGGTCGCTAAAAGACAACGGACATACATCCAGCTAGATATAATACTAGGAGCAGACAATTTCCTGGAAGAAATGTTGCAAACGAGGGGTAAGTGGCAGATAGTACACCAGTACATAAAAACGATACTGAAGACAAAAGCAGAGGAAGGTAGGCACTAATTAAATACAAAGACCAGAGCTGCCCAGAAGATATGCCACAATGGCGGTACCTGTTCAGCTCTTTCGGAGGAGGTGGTTTTTTAGTTGGTTAAAGTCCAACTCGCGCAAAGAACGTGTCCATGATAGATTTTGGATTTTCCCACCTTCGAAAAAATCTAGTATATATAATAAAAATGTGAAATGTATACAGGAAATAAAAAAAAGCCCGGTTATTTAGTATTGATTTAATAGACAAATGTACATTATTTACAACCAAACTAACCTTTAAAACATACATTTGCTTCATAAAATTTATGAGATTATATATTAATAAACTTTTTACCAAAGTATACATTTATTTTTCGGATTCATGTTGCTTTCAACAGGACAATTAAATGCTTTCGAAAATTCCTCCATATTAGATACAACTCCATTTACTCTGAATTTTGATCTGGCGTGATTTTCCCCATTCGCTTTTTTAAGATAAGCAATTGAAGGATTGCTGCACCATAACTAAAAAAGATGTGAAAAATATGAAAATTGAAATCAGAATCAGATTTACTTGTTATGCATTTTTTATTTCAGAAATTTAAATTATATTGTGAAATCCGACAACTGGGGATTGAGAATTAATTTAAATAATTTTTATATATTACATATTATATTCAAATTTTTATTTCGAATTCAAACAACATCCCAGCATCCTGCCTCGTAGGCGCCGTTTAAATTACTTCTGGGAAAAACAGTCTATGTTTCGATTCTCACGGACGCTAGCTAAAAAACCATATATAACCGATAGGGTTATATTCAGGAATTAATACAGGGCTTTATAGTCTTTATACACCAAAGCAACAGTCGTTCTCTCTCTGATACATTTGCATATATGGGAAATTTAAGTATAAATACCGGGGTTTCTGAGGGCTGCGGGATTATCTTTTTCTTCTTCACCAAGCCGAGTTAACAAAAAAACGCAAATATCCACGTTACCGCCACGGTGACTCCTTTTTCTTTATATTCTTCAAATATAATTAAAAAGAGATATCGCTACCCTTACGGTGGCCGCGCTTTTGTTATATTTTGACAACGGAAATAAAAGGTATCGACGGAGTAGAGAAATTAGTTTCTATAAACGACGGCTTCTGCATAGATATCCAGTTGTCCTTAAAATGATCACTTTTTTCTTATATTTTATATATAAGTAAAAGGAGATATATAGTCAGGTTGACCAAGCAGATACACGTTGAATAGAACCAGATTTCGCTCCTAGAACTGTTTTGTAAGGTTGTATCTACCGAGCGATTAAAATATTGGCGTAACTGATACCTACTGGTGATACCACGCTAGTCTAGTTAAACGCCAGATATTTTGTGTCTCCGATTCAACATTATAAAATGTTACTAAATAATTAAAAGTACTACTCTAGGCGACGTTTGTAGTGGATTTCGTCACCCTTCAGGCTGACCCGACGAACTTGCGCCCGGTAGACCTTTTATCAGCGGTATACTTTTTTTCTGTAAGGTTTCTTTTACGTAGAATTCAAACGATATTAAAGTAATCAAACTATTAAAGTAATGAAACTAGTATTTAATATTCAGATATTCCGGGGGAAAATTTAGACAAACATTAATAGGTTATAGGTATCACTTTATGACTTTTATATTCATTAGCGGGAAAATTCGCGGCTGTGTGTTATTGTCATATTTTTGGTATTCATTGATAAACGTTTATTGCGGGAAAAATTATAGGTTTTTTATATTGTGCTGAATTATATTATTTAGAGAATCGATAGTAATGTTGTTGTCATAAATATTAATTGTTGTAAAGTCGGTCAACACTTTGAAGTAATAAATTAAGTCATTTAGATTTATGGCCAAAGGGCATGGAAAACTAGGTTAGGGCCCTGTTTGTCAAGTTACAATTGTTTACTCACTGTTCCAAATCCAATGAAAAATAGTTGATCTGGAGTAAATTCAGAAGTTCCATTAACAATATTGTACTTTTCAATCATTTTTTTCATAGCTCTATAAGATTCCCTGACGCCTCCATTATCAGCTATATTTTCGTTCAGGGTAATTGTACCATTAACCTTAAATATAAAATAGTTTTATTAAATATTATAATGGTATTTTTAAAAATGAAGTCTATGTATCTATCAATCTACAGATTTAATTTTTCCTTGTCTTAAATAATTGACAAAGTGGCAAAAGGTTTCACGTATTCACCGATGACGTCTACAACTTCCTAGTCACGAGCTGGGGGCTATTTTCAAATTCTAGAGAATAGGTTTCTCTCAAGATTTTCATGAGAAATGTCATACGTCAACATGGAAACAGTATTTTTTAATTCTCTCGAAATAAACATAAAATTCTCAGTGGCTTTACAAATACTCTTTTTACGTTGACGTATTCCTTATGAAAATACAGAGATAAATGGAATAGATGATTTTGTCGAAAGACATTGCAGTTGCAATCTCATTGCAAAAGCTTTGCGCAATCTAAGTAATAGAAACAGGATTGTATTAAAGAATACATCTTCTTCTTTAGTTGTATGAGCTCAATTTTTCACTAGGACTATCTAAAGACTTGCCAAGAAGCGTGTATTAGGTCTCTTATGGCTGATTTTTGTAAAATAAACACTTCTATAAAATCAAAACAATGGCACTGGACTGGGTAGATAGTGAAAAAGTGAGCCCATACATAGAAGAAGACAAGGAAAAAGAAGAAAGTTATGCTGACGCCGTACCATAGACATATTAGAGAGATATTGCAAGTTCACTTAAGGTCAGTCACTTTAGCGCCGCTGTTATTTTGATATCTAAGCATGCGCAGATTGTTTACGTTCTAGAACTGATTTTATTAAAAATTGTGTCTGTCCTTAAGTGTGAATGTTTAGGGGCAGCAGATAGTGGCAACTTCATAGCTTTCGGGTACGCTCGCCGACATTCGTATCAGTTCGAAATTTTTAATAATAAATATTTAATATCATCGTCATCTAAACCTTCTAAAATGGTAGTTTTTAATGCATCTTCCATCTATGTACTGTTATATACAACACAAAAGAACTGTAATTTAAACTCTTCCTCGAGTGATGACGATATTCCACTAAAAATGTTGTGCAGATTTAACACCTCGAAGCAGTTTACCAAGGCAACTAAGCATGCTCCGGTATCTTCTAGTCCCACTTCTTCTACGCCGAGGGTAGGAAGCTTACAACCCTGCTGTTCAGGTGCCTACAAATCTCCGGGGTCCAACACGCCGAATCAGTTTACCAAGACAACTAGGCATGATCCGATATCTTCTAGCCCCGCGTCTTCCACTCCGTGGATGGAAAGCCCACAACCCTGCTCTTCAGGTGCATACAAATCTCCAAAAGAACTTTACCCATATCCTAAAATTAAGGAAGCAAGGAAACGCATGAGGAAGGGCAAAAAATCCACTATTCTAACTTCTACGCTGAACAAAGAAGAGTTAGAAAACGAGCAAAAAATAAAGAGAGAAAAAGAAGCGAACAAGTTTTTAAAGAAAGGAAGGAAGTTTGAAGAACTGCAAAACAAGAAAGAGGATGTATCGCAAACGACCACTGAAATGTCGTGTCCATGGTGTGACGAAATTTATGTTGATCATCCTACAGAAGATTGGATAAAATGTGACAACTGCAACTCTTGGTGGCATGAAGGCTGCTCAAACTACCAAGAACACGGAGTTTTCGTGTGCGATTTTTGTTTGTAGGCCAATGTTTACTTTCTTGTTCTTGAGAGTTAAGTTTAATTTTGTTTGATTTTTATGCAACATTTTGTTTTTATAATAATATGAGTTTAAATATAATGTGAGTTTAAACACGCTTTTTTACCTGGCCTTCTTTTCCAAAAAATTTTAAAAGTAGAATATGCGCGGACTTTTACCCCTAGTTCTGCGGACTTTTGCCCCTTACAAAGAGACAATACTCACTGAGTATTTTTTTCTTCATGTAACAAAACTGAAATAAAAAAAGTTAATACCCTGGCGGTTTGTTCCCCACTACCTTCAGCACACGTTAGAACAAAAAAATTACAACTAGCTTGAAAATTGGCATTAGAGCAGCTTCTAGATTGTTAAGGACAGACTTTTGCTCCGACTTACTCTACTTGCTATCTAAACTGATAGCGAAAACTCTTGCAATGACCTTGCAACGGTAATATGTCTTCCAATGAAAACATATATTCTCTCGAGTTTAAAAATAGCCCCCAGCGAACTAACTGACGCACTGTTGCCAAGATAATTCCATTATATTAGGTATATTCCAAAACACGCGAAAACCATAATATGGTATAAATCGTGTGCTGTATACATTTTTTACGTACAGCGCATGATTTGTACAGAGATATTATGTTTTTTGCGTGTGTTGGTATTGGAACGAACATAATATTATAACGGCATGCCAGACAGAAAAAAAGTACTATACAATAGACGACTCTCGAACGTTTATAAAGAATATCAAATTATTAAAATCGCACATCAGTTAACTTAACTGTTTTAAATATCCTCTGTACTTAACGTGCATCTTTCTTTAAAAGGGATGTCACGTCTGTAAATAAATATAAATTAACTAATTACATTGGCATTTATTTCCGGTTCGTAAAAATTATCGTATTCATTCACGAAACAAGTTGTTCTGTTAATAAATGCTTCCTTTGTCTCTTTTGTCCACCATGATTCGAAAGCTCCGTCTGGACCATATGCCATGCCATCTTTATCAAACCCGTGAGTCATTTCGTGCCCTACGATAGCACCAATTCGTCCATAATCCAAAATTCTGTAATAGAATAAAAATTATATAGAATGAAAGATTTTTCAAATTATTCAAAGCAATAAATAAATGCAAAATCAATACCATACGTAAACAATTAAAGATCGACTAGTTTCGACTTTAGAGCCATCTCAGGGCTATAATACAAAAATGGTCTATGATGTAGTAAGGAAAAATTACAAATAATATTCTTACTTACAAAAATGTTAAATAAAAAGAAATCAAACTTAAAAAGATGCTCCTTAAAAATTTAAGAAAAATTATTAATAAAACGGGTGTTTCACGTTTGTTTTAAAAATTTAAAGGTAGATAACAAAATTAATACATTTTATTCACAGAACATTGCAATAAGAAAGATTTACTTCAAACCAGTGGGATGTAACTTCAGCTTCAGAGGTAAAAAAAGAAATCGAGAAGAAAGCTTTAGAGCTAGACTCAATAATTTTTCTTATCACAATTTTATGGATCCATAATTAAAGTTCATGGTAAATACTAGATCTACTGAGTACGAAGCAGGCATGGACACTTCAGATCCCCAACAAGGTTTTTGAAGATGGAACAGGAAAAGGAAAGGCGAGAAGAGGAGAAGGAAATGTGCAGAAAGAAAAAAGAAGAAGAAAAGGAAAGGCACAGGGAGGAAGAAGAAGAGGAAAGGAAGAGGCGAGAAGAGGAGAAGGAAAGGCACCGAAAGGAGGAAGAAAAGGAAAGGCACCGAAAGGAGGAAGAAAAGGAAAGGCACCGAAAGGAGGAAGAAGAGGAAAAGAAAAAGCGAGGAAAAAGCCAAGGAAAAAAGAAGGAGAAGAGGCGTAAAAAGCAGTGGTGGAAATTATGAATGGTTTTCTACAAATAAAAAAAAAAACTTAAGCAAGACGTAGGTCAGCTTTATAGTCATGTAAATAATAGCTGTTAGCACAACATCAAATGAATTTGAAAGCTAACTACACGAAAATTTAAAAGGTAATTTAGAGCAACAGAAAGGATATTTAAAAACTAAAAACTAATTTATAACAACAAAGAGCAGGCTAGAGTAGAGTTTGAAAGACAAATTAGTACTAAAATGAATGAGTTAGGAAGAAAAATTTATAGCTAAACTTTAGTAAGCAACATTAAAGCTGAAAACACTACTTCGTCTTCATCTATAACCGAACCAAATAACCAGATAACATGGGAAACGTATCGACTCCAGTTTGAAGCTGCAGTTAGAGCCAATGGCTGGGCCGAGAAAGAGAAGGCGGCCTCATTGATACCCAGATAGCACAGGACGTCCTAAGGACGTCCATTAAATGTCCATTTAACGTCTGTACGTCCAGGACCAATTATGGACGTTTTAAGTACGTCCAATTTAGTACATTCTCGGGACATCAAGAAATAGATATCCGCAAAACGTTAATTTTACGTGTTTTACTGTATTTCCATGGATTCACATTCGCATTGCATTATTATTTGGTTATATTATATAAAAAACATATATAATCAAATAATATAAATAATTATTAAAGATAACATTGTCCCAATATCCAATTGAAAAAAGGCCAAATAGACAAAAACAAAGAAGGTCATTTACAAGAAAGAGACATTGTTGACAAGTGTCATTTTATTTTTATTTTTAATTATTAAAGATTCAAGCACTGAAATATTCTCAAGACTCAGGTTTTATAAAAAAAAAAGAAAAAACATGTGTTCAATGTTCATGATTCGATGGTATATACATATTATACGAGTACAAGTTCTATCATCCCGCCATTTGACTGTGATTCGACTCTGTGAGTTTGTGGTTGATGAATATTAATTTTTTGCAGTTTGTATGTTTGAGAAAGGTAGAAATTTTCCAATGAATACTACAAAGCTAAAAGGTTAGTGAATTCATAATGTCTAGCCGGGCAAACTTTAACAAACAGATTTGATTTTCATATTGATCTGCCTATCATTTTGAATAAGTGATTAAATTATTTTCAGGTTCAACTGAAAAGGCAAATATGGCAAAATCAAGAAAAAAACTGACTGCTGTCAATCCAGGCATGGTTGAAAAGAGTAAAGTAGAGGAGTTTTCCAGTGAATAATTCAAAGATAAAAGGTTAGTGAATTCATAATGTCTAGCAGAGCAAACTTTCGCAAACAGATTGAATTTTCATATTGATCTGCCTTTCATTTTGAATAAGCCATTAAATTATTTTCAGGTTCAACTGAGAAGGCAAATATGGCCAAGTCAAGAAAAAACAACTGCTGTCAATCCAGGCATGGTTGAAAAGCGTAAAGAAGAGGAGAGACGGAATGAATTTGACGAAAAAGTTTCAATAATATTATTATTTATAGGTTATTTGCTTCCAAATAAATTTTTTTGAAATTATTCATTATTTTCACTAATTTTCTTACATCCTATTATTCCCCATTCAAGCTTTTGAAAATGTCCATGGAATGTCCTTAAATGGACGTTCTTAAGACATTCTGATTATTAACAATGGACGTTCCAAAGACATCCATAAGACGCCCACGTCCGTAAAATGGACGTTTTAAGGATGTCCTGAATGTCTAAGCAGGACGTTTTTAGAACGTCCATAAGACGTATTTGTGCTATCTGGGTAGTGTCGATGGGGACGTTGCTACAACCATTTTACAGTTAATTTCTCAAGAACAGCTCATATATTTGTCTCTCGTCCAAGCTTTGAAATAAAGAAGCTGTCGTGGCCCAAATTGGTAGAATGACAGGATGCCTCGATCCGGTATCAGTTTTTTATTGGCTGTCAGAGTTGTGAGCTGTGATGTTGCACGTTGCGATAATCCTAATGCTAATGCAAAATATTAAAGCTTCCTTCTTAAGACCCAACTCAACATTTTTTCTTAGGTTAGAAAACGATTTTTCATTCAAACTAATACAAGATGTTATTATTTTAAATTTTTATCTCCTAATGTCAACAAATACGTAACACGATGAGTTTAATAAAACATATCTCGATTTAGCAAATTTGCAAATTGGCGCCATTCAGGGTTCATTATTTTTGGTGTATAAAACCCTGATGTCAAGAAAGAATGATATCTTATTTTGAAGGTATTTTTACCTAGATTATAACCCCCGAGTTTTACATCGCTACTATCTACGTAGGCCATACACTGGCTCACAAAAAGTATCAAACCTGTTTAACATAATTTTTACATTGTTATTAAAAAAATAGGATTTTTTGTAACAATTCTGTGACCTTCAATTAATGTTATCAGATGACATTTTTTGGTCGCCATAAAGTAGTAAGATTTAGTTTATTTCGTTGTAGAGTCGGCATAAAAGTGGCATATCATTGATAATGGTTTACTGAATTGCTGAGAGGGTGCAAATCATTTAAAAAAATGTGCTAATAGAAATTATCCAACTGTTTAACAAGTCCAACGAAAGTATATTTTGGAGTTAGTCCAAACATTTTGGGAAACGGGGTCAGTAGCTAACATATAACGTGAAATGGAAAATGCTGTAGTAAATAAAGCTGGCGATTTTAGGCCATGTTGTTCAAGAACCCACAAGTTTCAGCCATTCAAAATACCTCAGATACAAGAACTTAACGAAGACGATTTTGACAGGTGGATAAAATTTTATGAAATTGTGACTGAACGGGCAATAAATGATCAGCAATTTCTTTTCAACGTGGGTTTTTCTGACGAATGTACTTTTTCCTAAATGGTACGCAAAATCGTCACAACTGTCGGTATTGGTCCGATTCAAATCCCAGAATATTTCATGAAGTACATACGCAACATCCGGAAAACTGAATGTTTGGGCTGGCATATTTGGTAACCGTATAATTGGTCCCTTTTTTTACCTGGAACTTAAACCGCAGAAATGTATCTGGAATTATTAGAAAACACCATTTATCCAGCATTACTAGAGTTGATTGGGAATGATGGTTATTACATAGCAAACAACTTAATATTCCAGCAAGACGGTGCGCCTCAACATTTTTCAAGTCAAGGGATCGGAAAAAAGGAAGTAGTAGTGGCCCCCGCGGTCTCCAGATCTAACTCCGTTAGATTTTTTATGAGAACACTTAAAAACTAAAATTTATGCCACCCAGCGAACATTACTGGAAAATCTGAGACAACGAATAATTGACGAATGTCGTCAAATCACCCCAAATATCCGAGAGCGTTTTGAACAAAACCTCTATTATTGCAAGGAGGTCCAGGGTCAGCATTTCCAGCATTTACTGGTAATTGGTACTGATAAGCAGTTAAAGAAAATAAAAATCCTTTTACATGACTAGGAAGACAGTAGCGGGGGTTATAATCTAGGTAAAAATAATTTCCATTTAAGATTATAGGGATAAATTTTACCTCAGCTAGAGGGTTTCCGTTTAGAGGGAGAAACTATCAAAAAAAGTTTCCCCCAAAATTAAAAATTGACGGCTCAGAGCGTTTTTTCGTAAATGACCGGGAGTGTCCAAAATTAGCTCTGTTTCGCTTTCAAATGGCCACCCTGTATATATACAATACTCCATTATGTGTGTATTAGTAAATCATTAAAAATATCCTTCTAATTCATGATAGTTAATAAATGTTTTATATTGTGTTTCCACTTATTTCATTGGTACTCTAGCAGCGCAGCACCACTGAATACCAGTGGTGGCTGCACCGAGCATATAGGGTTACCAGATATCCCGTGGGAGTCTCCAGCCTACCGATTGTTGATATTCCCGTCTGCCGCTTCAATCCTCAAAACTCTAGCAATTCGACATTTGCCAATACCATTTTTAAAAAAAAATTTCATAAAATCAACGCTTTAAAGTGGCTTTTAAAGTGCTTTTAAAAAACCGGTGGTGATCCTAAGTAGGGCATGGAGGGGGGGGAGCACCCATTTCCCGCATAAAGCCCGAGCACCCAAAGCAATTTTTGAGTTCCGACGCCTATGATTGTAGGTATATTTTTTTACTTCAATTTACACCGGTTATCCTGTTATATTTTGGAACTTAACATTTAACTGATTTATTTATGAGTTAAAATTTACCAAAAGTGTTTTGGGTCTATTAAATGACATTTGGGTTCCAGCAGACATTTTTCTTTAAATTTATTTATGGTTTGATTTTCAAGTTATCATTTTCGTTTTTTAAAAAAATAAGTACCTAAGTTCCTATACTTAGTCTGGGATGAAGAAGTCACTAGTATCTAATATTAGGCTTTATGTCCGAGAGGCATTACCCTATAAGTTAACTAACAGCAGAGGTTTTGGTGGTAACCTGAAGGTGCAGAAATCTCGAGTTATAGCCATTTATCTTCACTGTTATTCGCGTTTAAATTCAGATTAAATAAGGGGTTGTTGTTTTTCGAATTCCATTTATTTTGTTTTATAATTCAAATCCTAATAATTGCCTGGGATGCAGAAATAGTTTTCTCTGTGCCGAGAAAAAGCCTGTGAAGCTAGGATGCGGTTCCACTTAAAAATGAATTAAAATTAAGTTTACCTCTAGTATGTTATCTTTTTGAACTGATGTTGATGTGTCCTGTTTTAGCAGTGCATCAGCTGAGAAGTACTTTTCTTCGTTAAAGATACATACATTTACCAAGAAAGGCTATCAGACCTAACAAGTTTAGCACTGATGCACATTGAGAAGAAAAGTACCTCAAAGCTGATGTCGCAGGAGTGCCTGCCCTCCTCTGGAGACAATTCAGTAAAATAATATTAGAAATAGAAATAAGTTTTTAAATCCTCACCTGTTTTTATTTCCAAAGAAAACTGGATTCAACATTGACATTGGAAAAACTAAAAAAATTAAACTGTTGTAAATAAAATATTTAGCATTGATTATTTAACTACTCACTTATTTTATTATTTGGTCGATTGTAATATGCGTTTACTTCAAATGGAGACTTATCCCAGCTGAAATTGGAAATATTTTATTAAAATATTAGAAAATAAAATACCTATATATACTTTTTAAATGTGTCTGCTAATAAATTTACTAAGATAAAATATAAAATCAGTTGTAAGTTATATAAAGAATTGCATTAGACAATAAAGTATTTGATAATGATGAATAAATTAAAGGTTTACCGAAAAAAAATTGTTAGTTTAAATTGCCCAAACAAATGCTACAAAGATAGATGGGCAATAACAAACCAAAGAAAATTTGAATAATTGAAAAAAATTCTGCTCTGCGCGTGGGTCGAAGCCGCGTTCTCTGGATCTACGTTTCAATGTCCTAACCACTAGACCACCAAAGCTTATGCATCTGCCTGTCCTAGACTTTAATTTGAGTATTAAGATTCGATAACAAATCAGTTTATCAAAATACACACAACCAAACTTATATGGAATCACTGTGTATTTCTGAATAAACGTTTTGTAAGGAAAAAATTTGGTAACTAACTTTAAGATAAGGCCTTTTGTTCTTATCAAATATGATAATAAAGAAGAAACGACTGCTGAGATTTATTATCTTGTGAATTTTGTGTTCAGAAGTAAAATCACGATCCTCCGGTAATTTTATTTCGGTCCAAAAAACAACAAAATACCTTATATTGGACTAACAGGTGAGAATTATTGCTCTCATTGAACAAGGAATGCTCCAATGAGACGTAGCAGAGGTAGTAAGAGTAAGTGATACCCAGGGTGTTGTATCGAAAACATATGAAAGGTACTTGGAACTAGAAACTCTCAAGAACAGGCCCATACAAAGTAGTCAAAGAGTCATAACTGAACAACAGGACCGCTTTATGTGCCAATTTACTTGACGAAATCCCAGCGTTTCTCATCTAGAGCTACAATGATAACTTCTGGAAGCTACAAGTGTGAACGTTTCAATTGAAACTCTAAGAAAAAGACTTCGCGCACGAGGTTTGTACAGTAGGAAAGAGTTACAGGTCCCACCCTTATCTGGGTAAAATAAAATTGACCAGCTAAATTGGTGCCTCCAACACCAAAACGTGACAATTGAGAATTGGCAAAATGTTCTTTTTTTGGATGAGACCAGAATTGGCCTAAGCTCAGATGACCATCGAATTCGGATTCTCGGAGCTCCAGGAAGATGAGCGAGACTCCACGCTGCCAGATATGTCCCAAGATATCAAAGAGGAAATGTAATGTTTTGGGCAGGTATTATGCTGGATGCAAAAACTCCATTGTTACCACTTCAACAAACTTTAACCGGTCCTAGATATGTTGATTTAGTGCTAGAACCAATCGTAAGGCTTTGGAGAGCTGCAATTGGGGATAATTTTATCTTTATGCACCTCCCCATACCAGCAGAGTGGCTACATAATATCTTGAAACAGAAAGTGTCACAGTTTTAGACTGGCCTGCATGTTCACCAGACCTAAATACTATCGAACACTTGTGGGACCAGCTCAAAAGAAGGATTAGAGTTTGTCTAAACAATGCAGGAAATGTCGCACAGTTTATTGATGCAGCATTAGCAGAATTGGAAAACATACCCCAAGACAATGTTGACAATTTAATAAGAAGCATGCCAAGGCGAATAGAAGCTTGCATAAGGATTAGAGGTGATAACACGGATTGTTAAAATTACTAATTTTCTTTCTGTTTTTGCTTTTCGGCTATTAAAAATTTAAATCTAATTTCGTTTCAGAAACCAAAAAAATACCATTGTGTTTATTTTGTCAACTAATTAATTATTTTTATTGCTATGTGGGTTATTTGTCATTAAAAGTCTTTAGTAAGGACCGAGTTTTATTCATAAACAAAAAAATGTTCATACATCTCAAAAATTATGAAAAATAATAGATAATTCCATATAAGTTTGGTTGTTTGTATGTTTCAATTCTTTAACCATGCAATAGTCACCAATGTGGTATCGTCGAAGGTACATCACTTGCATTGAAACTCTTGTTTCGTCCAGGTGTTAACTAGTGACTAATAAAGTAACTAATAAATTATTTCGTTGTAAATGATTGCGTTGTAAATTATTGTCATGACTCAAAAGTTCTGAATTCAACTGTTGTACCAGTGAAACATATACCCTTAAATATAGGGTAGCTGCGAGGGTAGAGGCACATGGCGTGATAAGCAGGCGATTCTTGTATCGTACTGGATTTTAAATTGATACTGAAGCACTAAGCACTAAGCGACGAGTTGCTGTTTTGTTAGTACGATAAATGAAACACCCGCTTACCTGCCTGCATGCCTCTACCCTCCCGCTTTAGTTACATGGGAGGGGGTGAACAGTATGTACTATGTCCCGGTGCTGGGAGCTGCTGCTCTAACTTGTCAAATTTAAAATACTATTTCACATCGATAGAGTTTTTCATTTTTGCTGGAAATAAAATAATTTGCTTTTCCATACCTTTTTTTTTCCTTAAGGGTTTTGGCTTTGGTAATTATATCCATTTGCCACAGATAAATTTTTCCATACCTAGTTTTCACTCTTTTGGCAAAAACCAACTATTTAACGACCAGTAATAAGTAGGTAATAACATATGTGATTATAAATAAAATTAACTGCGAGTACTTACAATGCTCTTTCTCTTTTACTAATCTGTGAAATTTGATAAGCATTCTTGAAAGCTCTAATTCTTAAGCTGTTTCCGTAGTTATCCCATTTACAAATTCGTAAATTTTCGTAAAATTTATCTAAGGCTTCTTTATTGTATGAAATGTCTGGATGACCTAGTATTGTAATCATATTGTTAAACTTTTTTAATGCTTTAGCTTTAGTTGTTGCATCCATCCAATTAGTATTTTCAATTATTTCTTTAAAAGCATCTTGGAGGTCTTCTATCAGTTCTAGCGCCTAAAAATTATAAATATTTTTTTATGATGTAAATTAAAACGCAAAAATCTGTACTGTCGTTACATTCGAGTCCGATTACAATAAGAAGAACATAGATGCATCATTACTTGGCGGACTCACTCGTTTGCGATTGCCTAGCTAAAGATCTATTTATACGAATAAAAAAAAACTAGCGCAAGTTAATATTTGAGAGTACTTCCAAATAGTTTGCGTAATGTCAATTAATTTTTCCCCTATTTATTAACGTCTGATTGAGTTCCATCTTAGCTATTATCCGATATTTTAATTTCGTTCAATGTTTCAACCAGGATACACATACTAAAGGTATGCTGACTTTCGATTCAAAATTCGTCCAAACCGCGCATGACGTAATGCGGGACGAAGATATGGCAACCCTGTTGTCATGTTGTCATTAACAGGGTCAATGATACATATATGTTATATACATTGCTCAAAGCTGGTCGTTTGCGAGCAGCCATATTGCCTAGCAAATATTTATTAATTTGAATCAGTTTAGCAAAAATGTGTTTTAAAATCAATTTTCAGACTTTAGATATTTAAAAAATAATAACTGCTTATATTTTTACTTCAAGGCATAAGCTTATGTTTATTTTAAAAAATAGGGATGATCAATCTATGTAACTATCTATTTCACTCACCTTGTCAAATCACCAGGCCTACAGAGTTGCCATAACTTTGCCACATCATAACCTGTCAAAACCCACTGGTAGTCATTCAGTTTGGAATGCCTAACTGTTTGACAGGGGGTCGATTCTCGACTCGTAGGAATATTTTCCTATAGGAATTTTTGACATTTTTATATACATCGAAAATTTATGACATTGTCCTACATATAGGAAAGTGTCACAAATTCCTATAGGAAAAGGTTCCTACAAGTCGAGAATTGACCCCCAGGTCGTTGGAATGCCTAATTCCGCCATTTTGCCAGCTAATTGTCAGATTTAGGTGTCAACTTTCGATGTCAATAATGCCGATGCTATTTTAGAGTTTTGCATTGTTTTCGTTTATGTTCGTGAATTATACGAGCTTTCGAATTTTGTTCAGTCGTTCAGTCTCAATGTACCATCCCAATTTTCACACAGAGACACCTTTACGGGGAAATTATGATTTGTTCTTCGATCCTGCATTGACGAACCCCCTGGGTTCTGAGCAGTCAAGCGACACCATTATCTTACATTTTTTTCGAACGATTTAATCAATTTATCTGATTTTTAAAGTATTAGAAATATGTAATTATGCAAATTCACAAAATAATGTCAATAGTTGATGCATAAACAATTTTTTTTTAATAATTATAAAATGCCTAGTAAAGGGGCGTTTGATTTGAAACTCGATCGAGCGAGCGTCGAGGAGACCGAGAAGTGATGACGTCACAATAGAGCATTGAATCAAATCTTCTTCTTCTTCTTTTCTTTTTTTGGGCTATGTTACTGCGAACAATTTACCCAGATATAGTTGATTTGCTTCTACTAGATAATGATTTTAAAGAAATTTAGAAATTTAGAAAGGGTGGTTATTCTTCTATCATCCAAATGAGACAAGATGTATCGAATATCAAATGGGGCTGATAAACCAGCCTTCGTTAGTTCCAAATATACATCAAAAAGGGGAGATTTATTAATGGGACACTCTAAGATGATGTGATTTAACGATCCAACTTCTCCACACTCGCAAAATGGGTCATCTTTAATACCAATTCGAAATAAGTGATATGGGGTTAGACAATGGCCAGTTCTCATCCGTATGATTGTGGAAAGGTACCTTCTTTCATAGAATTGTTTACTATTGAACCACGGAGTTTTGGGTATTTTAGGAACCACTTGGAAGTAAAAAGATGTTTTGTTTTCTTTTAGTGAATTCCACTGTTGATGCCATTTGTTCCAAATTTCTTGTTTAATGAAGGGTAAAAAGTTAGACTTATTGAGTTTAATATTTAAAGGAATTTTAAGGATTCTGCCTATATTTGCTAATTGATCGGCTTTATGGTTGCCAATAATGCCGGAGTGACCTGGAATCCATGCCAAAGTGATGTGGATGTTATTCATATTAGCAAGTAAGATACCTTGTTTTGTTAGAAAGGAGCAATGATCAGTTTCTGTAGAGAATTTCATATTTCCAATTTTTTGTAAAGCAGATTTGGAGTCCGAGAAGATAACTGAGTTCAATATATTTTTTTCTAAAATGATTTGCAAGGCATGGTTAATTGCAATAATTTCTGCAGTACATATTTGTGTATGTTGAGGTAGTCTGCTTGAAAACACGTAATTGAGGTCTGGAGAAAATACACCGAAGCCTGAATCATTAGAAGGTCCCACAGATCCGTCGGTGAAGAATTTTGTGTAACCGGGTAGCTCGTTTATTGTGTCAGTAAAAATGGATAATCCATAAGTGTCATCCCTAATTGATCTAAGATTTAAAACTGGAATTGAAGAGAGTTGGATGTCCAATTCAAATTCATGGCATGGCAGCAATTCATTAGAATACATATTCGGAAGGAACTCATCCATTTGGTTCATTAAACTTAATAATACTGGAGTGTCAATTACCTTTTTGTAAACATTTCTTTCTTTATTTAGTGTTTCCAAATGTTTTAACGAATTGATGACAGGGTTATTTTCCAATGCAAGATTTTTTAAAAGAAATTTATAACAAAGCCAGTCTCTTCTTAAGTTTAAGGGGATATCCCCGCTCTCTGCTTGCAAAGCATAAATTGGGGTTGATTTCATACAACCAGTGATGACACGTAAGCTCTGATATTGTAGCCTGTCCAACTTCTTCTGAAGATACTTCGGACATGGAGAAATTACCTGGCATCCATAATCTATATGACTTAAGATGATAGCGTTGTGTATTATGCGAAGGATTTTTGGATCACTGCCCCACCACGTACCACAAAGAGCTCGCATGACATTTAAACCTCTGTTAATTTTTTGCTCAATGTAATTTATATGTACATTCCATTTTAAGTGTTTATGAATGTAAATGCCTAAATATTTGAATGAATCTGACCAGTGAATGATTGTATCATTAAATTTAATTTTTGGAAGGATTAATTTAATAGGACCTTTTGAAAAAAGGAGAGCCGATGATTTAGTTATAGACAAGTTGAAGTTGTGCTCATCGAGCCAGTCTTTAAAAGCAACCAATAAAGAGTTTATTTCTATAGTAATATTGAAGACATTCTCTCCACTAACCAAAATTACAATGTCATCCGCGTATTGTATTAATTTAAAGGTTTTTGGTATAATATTGAATAAAGATAACATATAGAGATTAAATAAAATCGGGCTAAGGGGAGATCCCTGAGGAAGTCCTTGATTGGAGGTTCGTGGTCCATGACTTTGACCACAGTTATCTGAGACTGAAATGGATCTGTTATTTAGAAATGCATAGATAAGGTTGCATAGCTCTATTGAAATGCCAATATTGGCTAATTTGGAGTATAGAAGATATATATTTACACTATCATAAGCTGCCGAAATATCAAGGAATAGACCAACAGTATAATTATTTGATGCCAAGCCTATTTGGACTTGGGTGATTAAGTAAGATATTGATTCTGTGCAGCCTTTTCCTCGTCTAAATCCTAGTTGTAAGGGATGGAAGATTTTCTTGTTTTCCAAATACCATTCTACTCTATTTTTGATAAGTGATTCTAGAAGTTTTCCAACGCAGGATGTTAAAGCTATAGGTCTATAATTATTTGGACATGATTTATCTTTCCCAGATTTTACAAATGGCAAGATTAAAGATTGTTTCCATTGTTGGGGAATAGATCCACTTTTGAGACAGTTATTGTAGAATTGTAACAGCCAAACGGCACCCAAGTTAGGTAAGTTTTTTACCATTGAGTAGGAAATATTATCTAAGCCAGGAGAAGAATCTTTTTTAATTGATAATGTATACTTAAATTCATTATATGTAAAGGCAGGTTCTTTGTCATTAGGAATTTTGATAGCAACAGCAGGGGAAGCAGAATTCGGTGTTATGATTTTTAGTATATCATTAGCTAGTAGAGAAGATGGCATAAGACTGGAAGTATTAGTTTTCTGACCTGCAACTGAATTTACTTTATTATTGAATCAAATCAAATAAAACAGAGTAAAAAACATAACCTCGCTTTTTGTGATTGTCAAAATCACAGGTCAAAATAGTGAGCAAAAAGTAAAGAAAATGGAAAAACTTTTAATAATAAGGGGTAATGGCCCTGAAATGCAGCATATATCACAAATGCCCGCTTCGCTCTCATACTCCATGCCTGTGATTACTGGTGATTAGATCTGGACAGAGAAAATGTATTTTCCAAACACACATTTTGTGTTTTTTATGACGAATAATTTTAGATATAAGACAAAAGCGGCTAAGTAATTTGTTGACTTCTTGTCTGGTCTTTAATTTTGAGATTAAAATTTGTTTGTAAGTTAGTTAAAAAGAGATAGGTAGAGACAAAGACAAATTTCTCCCTCTTCTCGATCCATCTGCTCTGAGAACATCGAGCTCGATCTATGTTCTCGCTCCAAAGCAAAACAAACACTTTAGGGATCGCTCGGAGTGTCAATTCAAACGCGTTTGTAGCGCTCGGAGATCTCCGATGATCAAATCAAACGCACCATAAAGGAGCTTGATGCAAGCAATTTGTTTAACAAAAACGCATAATGTTGGTTGCATACTGTCTGGCTTTCACATTACCATGCATTGTTGGTTGCATATATGTTTTGACAGATTTCTGGCAAAATGGCGGCTTATTAGACTTTTCAATTGTTGCCGTGTCGGGTGTCTCTCTTGCGCTGTATAGTCATCTAGGTGTGTGGTAGTGTAAAACAATTTAATAATTTATATGCTTATGTGTTAGTAGTGTATATTTTTCTATATAGATATAACAGGGAAAAACTAAATTAATGTTCAAAATGCCGGGCTGCGCAGTGGAGATATTTCCGAATGCCACAAAATATGGGTAAATTCTTATCGAAGAAAGGACAAACTTAATTGAAATTGCCCTATCCATTTTGTGGAAAGTAGTTGTGAGATTCCTCTTAAACATAGATGCAAGAAAAGGAAACTGAATTCCACCAGGTGCACGGGCCTCATTAAGCAAAGAAAATAAATCGGTATTTAAAAATTTTAGCAGATAAAACAGTAGTTTCATGTCCCAATACAACGGTCCTTTTGAAGTAATGCCATGCATGAGCAAGACACGAACATATATAAGAATAAGATAAATGAACAGGAAAATTTTGTTTCATCAAGTATGTATGACCATGTATTTTAACATTAAAATTTGATTTTTGTCGAAAATGGTCGACTTTAGAGCGTATGACCAAGAGTATCTTTTTTGTGTAGAAAACATTGGCGGTTCAAATGGACGTCTCAAAACCGTACTTTTTTTAGTGGCGTACAATTTTTTTTTTTCAATTTCAACACCCTGTATCTCGAAAATGGTGCATTTTAGAGAGTAAGTTAATAGAAACGTTTTTTCATATTTTTGGACGAGCTATCACGTCCTAAAGTCCTGCACATATATTATGAAACACCCATAAAACCACTTTTATTTACAACCATATATGTAATGTTGTCATTACTAACGTCATTGAAGGTTGGGAAGTGTCACATTACACACCTCTACTTCCCGCCCTCACTTCCCGCCCTCATTTCATCTATTCTAGATGACTATTTTTTATATTTAAAAAAAAAATAACACAGTGTTTGACAAATTTTATACCTATTTAATGGCAAACAAAAAAAAACAACAATGATCTAAAATATAACAAACTACTTATTGATATTTATTATTCGCGAATTTAATATCCGGCTTTATCTGACATTTATTTATATTGGTGACAGTTGTTTACCCCGTAATAACAGTAACAATATATTTACCTACTTGATTATTCTGAGAAAACTGCGCGCTTCGTAATTTGTTGTTAAATGTAATATTTTAGGTATGTTCAGAACAAAACAGAGATTTATTAACTTTGATCGAAATATGATGGTTGTAAATAAAATAGTATACAAACCTCGGTAGGAAGTTTCATTCCTGTCTCGAGATCATAGCTAACCTCGACGCTTCGCGTCTCGGTGATCTAACTAATCTTACGACAGGAATGAAACTCTTCCCACCTCGGTGTGTAATATACTATTACCTCATTAGAAGAGCACCCGAAAATTCTCTACTACATTGTTATTTTTATCTTCTTAAATCTTAAATCATTTTTACGTGCAGGAATATTTCGTGTCTCCATCTGTTATAACCGAAGTTCTTTTGATTAATTAATTAATTAATTTTAGCAATAGACGCAAAAAACTCCATTTTGTGACAAAATTAGTTGATGTTTATAGTGCTGGTCGGGCACGCGCGTTTTATATGCGGTTTTTGTAATTTTGTAGGGGTCAATTTATTGCTCATTATATTGCCTTTATTAATAATATCATAAATGTTGTTAAAATTATGTTGTTTATTAGTTTATAATAATATGGTGCCTATAGGGAGGGTTGGCCAGAAACAAAACGGGAGTGTTTGTCATATGGATGGCTCACTAAAATTTTTTATTAACAAAAATGTTTGTTTTGAGCATGCCGTTCAAGTACAAATAAACAGAATCAAGCAATAGGCAAACGTACAGTAAAGAGATCATGCAATCTGCCTTCAGGTGTGTTGTAGAAGGCAGTAGCGTCCGGGGTGCTTCAATTAGATTTGACATTACAAGGAAAACCCTAGAAAGATATGTTAAGAGTGCGGTGATAAAAATATGCCTGTCAGTCCTAATTTTAACACAAGTTAGGTATTAACCGATGAAATGGAGTCTCTTTTAGAAAGTTATGCTTCAAAACTGCATTATGGTCTTACTTCAAAAACTGTTAGAACATTTGTGTATGAATTTTCACTTCTCAATAATTTGTCAGTTCCAAAAAGTTGGAACGAAAAAAAGGCAGCTGGATATGATTGGCTTAGAGATTTTATGGCAAGGCATCCTAAACGATTCCTTCGTCATCCTGAATCCACAAGCTTGGATCGTTCTATCAATAAAACAAATGTGGAACAGTTTTATGGAAATCTAAGGGAAGCTCTCAAGAATAACACATTTGCGCCGGAATTGATTTACAATATAGACGAAACGGGTATCACAACTGTACACAATCCAGGCAGAGTTATATCTGTTAAGGGCAAAAAACAAGTGGCAAAAGTAACGTCAGGAAAACGGAGGACTTTAGTAACACTCTGTTGTGCTATCTCGCCAATAGGTTCATTGTATAAATGTGTTTCTACGAAAGCAAGTAACTGAAGCTATGTACAAAGGCGCTCCTACTGGTTCTCAAGTTGTAACACACCCCTGCAGTTGGATGACTAGAGATAATTTTGACCTGTTTCTGAAACATCTCATCAAGTATAGCAAAGCATCTAAAGAAAACCCATTTAGTGATCCTAGACAACCAAGATAGCCATATTACTCCTAGCGGTATTAATATTTATAGAAAAAACGGTATAATACTATAGAGAAAGTAAAAGTTGAAAAGTCTTTTGGTAGGTAGAGAGGGGGTAAACGTCAAACCACGTCGGGCGGCTCCAAGAATTTCACAGTAATGTTTACCTGCCAGTGTCGTTTCATAGAATAAGTAATTTTAAATTTTTATCGGCGGAACCGGACAATCGCATGTATTTATGGATTATAAATAATTATTAAACATGTATTATAATATTCAAATTATAATTTTACAAAATTTCAGCAGCTATTCACAATTTATTAAACTATTTACTCGAAATTGTTATTAACATCTATAAAATAATTTTGTACGCCAATGTATCGCGTCCACTTCGGTGAGATCCGGTGCCAACCTGTCAATTTATGTGTATAAAGTGGGAGAACTGGCAAAAGCATTTCCAACTTTTACTTCTGTTCTACTAACCCTTCCCACCACGCACTAGTCATCGTCTCCAGCCTTTGCATCGGTCTGTATTTGGTCCGTCTAAGACATATTACAATTAGGCAGCAAACGACTTCATGGTTAATAAACCTGGACAGCCGATTAGAATTCAAGACATTCCTGAATTTGTTGGAAAATAATTTCCTAACGCATTTACTCCTAGTAATATCCAAAATGGTTTTTCTTCTACCGGAATTTACCCATTTAACTCAACTGTTCTTGATCAGTCTGACTTATTAGGAGCATACGTAACAGACCAATTCCTACGAGTTTTGTAACCTGCACGTCATCGTCCTTATCAGTTAACGTTTTTGTGTGTTTTTTGGATTTTTTATTTGCCAAATATTTATATGAGAATGTCTGGCCCGAGGGGAGGGGTAAGTCGCCCGAGGGCATAGGTGTATATTATTGAGAAAAAATCCTAAAATTTAATTTGATTTTCACAAAATTTTCATTTTATCATAGTAGAGGTATTAGCGTTGCTAAGGAAATATACATCATAATTTAATTTCATATTTTATAATTTTATTAATAAAAGTTAACCATAAATTGTTTTTTTTTGTGAAATGACGCTCGCGGGGCGATAAATGCCTGTTGTTTAGAATAGTTCCACATTATTTGCTAATAGGTAATAACTATTACGTACCTGAGTGAAATAATTGACATTAAAATGCCGTAACTGATATTCGTAAGCAAGAGCAAAACTTAAACCCGCTGTTCCAACAGAATCGATAAGTTTCCTTGTACAATATTTCCACCTAAAATGAGTAAATTAATTATTATCACGTATTTTTCTTTAAGTAATTTACGGTTTAGGACTATTATAAAATCTAGACAAAAAATATCATGGAAATGTGTACTGAGTAATTCACAAAAAAGATTAAACAGCGACAATAAGGTATTAAAATCAGGAATAGATGGTTCTAAAAAAGTAAATATCATTTATTTTAGACTCTCGTTAAATAATGTTAAAAGGCAATATAAAGAAATTCAATATAAATAAAGGGCTGTTCAATGTGCTAGATATATCGACATGATTTTGCACTAAATGCATCGAAAGCTTCTGTCATCCGTTTTGGTCATTATAATCAAATGAAATTAATAATAAACTAAACGACAACACACTGGATATATCGAAGAAATGGAGAAACTTGTGATTAATTATTATTGGATAAAGATTTGAGCTTTACCGAGCATATAAGTTTTATATTTTACAGAAAGCCTATACAAAACTGAGTGTTTACGCTCATAGACATGTGATTAGTAGAGTTGTGAAGAATTAATTATAAAAATGTAAATTTTAATTAATTTCTGTGGAAGTACACTTTAAAGGATTCACCGTAGTTTAAAATATTCTCATTTTTACTGTAAAAACCTTGTTCTTATTAAAAAACCGAATTTTATGCAAAATTATCAAAATTATTTGCGAAGGTGTGTGAGGGTCTTTTTTTGTTGTTCGTAGTAGTAAATAGTCCGAAAACTGGTGGTGGCTTCTCCCACTCCGAATTGATCGACGTTCAGCGCTTTAGCTGAAAAAGCATAAGTAAAAGTGAATCAAAAATTTGGCCTCTCACTTCTTCACCACCGTAGTGTCTTCTAGTTCCTCCTAAACTTTTCACCGAAGTAGTGATACGAAGTTAGTGAACCGTTTAGTTTTCCTGTATTTCCGATTATTAACCAAGATAAGCCTTTCTATATAATTTGTTCTTTTCTTCTATATGAAATTTCCGTTCGCGTCTCGCCCTCCAGCTGAGCATTCATTTTTTAACTAATTATTGTTAAAGTCTATTCAGATTTCATTTACGCCGCGTCAAAACAATTTCTCCCATCCAGCAACAGCTCACGTGACATTTTTTTGCGCTTCTATTGGTTAATCGGTCGTTAGTCATTTAGACGACGCGCAAATATTTTTTGTCAGAGTCGAATTCAGTTCAATTTGGATAATTATAAACGGCGTTTTGGTAGCATTCACCGTGTTGGTTAGTTTGGACATTTTGTATGTTTGATTGATTGTAATTCATTATATTATAGTTTAGATATACATATATTGTGTTATTTATTTTTTGTTGTTGTTGTTGTTGTTGTTGTTGTTGTTGTTAGTTTGAACATGTTTTACTCTATTTTATGGACATTTAATTGACTATATTTTGTAATTGCTGCGTGACACTATGCCCTCCACAGATACAGCAGATGAAGTCCAGAAAAATGTTTTTACTCCTTCTAAAAAGCGACTGAAAAAGGGACATTTGGTCATCCGTACTAAAGAAATGGTTCTTAATATTTATAAGCATTAAATTTTATAGAACCCTGATATGTTGGTACATGATGTTGAAAGGAGAGTTGTTGATAAAACAGGGATGTGCGCTAAAACCGTTTTTATGAAGGAGTATAGGCAGATTCATAAATTTTCTGAACCAAAAAGAAAGTTACGTTATAAACAAATTAGTGGCTCTGTGGATGATTTTAATAAAAATGCAATACGGCGCAAAGTACATCAATTCTTCTTTAGAAATTAACTTCCAACAATTGATAAGGTTTTATAAGAAGTCAACGATGATCCATATTTGTCTACTTTTAAGCGAGCTACATTTTACAAGCTTTTCAAAACCCTTAATTTTAAATTTAAAACTCGAGGAAAAAATAGTTTGCTTTTAGACAAAAATGAAATTGTTTCGTCCTACGCCACAAAAAATAAAACGGTACAGAGAAGAAAAGCAAAAAATATATTATCTTGATAAGACTTGGATTAATGCAGGCCACACCAAATCAAAAGTATGTTTGGATATGTCGGTTTTTTCATCCAGACAAGCCTTTTTGGATGAACTTTTAACTGGTTTTAAAAACCCATCAGGTATGTGCGTAAAAACAGCTCATTATATGCCATATTGGAAGTGAAGAAGGCTTTGTCTCTAATGCACTTTATGTATTTAAGTTGAAAAATCCGGTGACTACCATACAGAAATGTGTGGAGAATCGTTCAAAGAGTGGTTTTCAAACACCCTACCAAAATTAGAAGATAACTGCATTATTATTCGAGAAAGCTAGAAAAAATATCTACGACGTCTAAAAAAGGTGATATTTAAAAATGGCTATAAAGGAAAAAACTTGAATTCGACTACCAAATGCTTAAGATCAAACTTCTAAAACTTGGTAAGCAACATAAACATTATGATAGGTATGTAATAGATGAAATGGCTAAGCAGCAAAACAACATAATACTTCACATGTCTCCGTATCTTTGTGAACTTAACCCTATTGAATTAATCTAGGTTGACGTTAAACAATACGTAGCAGATAAAAACTCAACATTTAAATCTGGAGACATTAAAATTCTTTTTGAAGAAGTAATATTATTAATTTCTCCAGAAAAATGGAAAAAGTGTATCGACCATGTTTGCCAAAAAGTTGAAGTAAAAATGTTGGAGTTGGATAATATTATAGAGGTTCAGGTAGAACCACTTGTAATTTTGATTAATGAAGATAGCCTTTCAAGTCTAACCGATTCAGAATAGTGCTAAGTCAAGTAAGGAAGCTTGCTATAATACAGGTTACAAGTTGTCTAATCTAAATACTAGTAGAACAAGAACAATAAAGAACAAAAGTTATCAAAAATCCAAAGGTTTCTTTTTAAGATGCACAATTTTAAATCAAATACCAAATTCAAATACCAAATACCTCTTATATTTAAAGTTTTTTTAATGCTTTTAGTAGATATATATTAGCTATTAGAGAATTTGCAATTATTTGGACATCCTGTACAATATAATTTTATAATATGATTGTTTTAATGCTCTGTATCACAGTAGACATATGTAATGAACTAAATATAATGCAACCATCTCTTTTAAAGTCAAATACATTTTTTAATTTGTATTGCAGGTTAACGCAGTTTATGTCGCTCACCTATCTTCGTCCAGAAATGTCCCTAAAGTCTGGGAGACCGTGATTGGCATTTATTTTATAGTTTTACTTTACAAAATAAGTTTTTATCATTTTTATAATTTCACAATTACACTCTTTTATTTTACATTTTTTCAAGACGGAAAAGTAAAATCCGTCCCTGCTCAATTTTAGCGTCCACCTGCTTCTGTTTACATCAGGCGTAAATTAAATTTGAATAGACTTTAGTTAAATTATCGTGATCTAGCGTTGTCAAACCTCTCTTGGTTGGGCCATTTGCGGATCACCTGAGTAGGCTCTGACCCAGGAAACTTTACAACCGCCGCCCGGTATAATATTCAGTTTTTTTTAATAATAATTTGATGCGATCATTTTTTTTTTATTATTTATTGTGTATTAAATTATCGCGATCTAACGTTGTCAAACCTCTCTTGGTTGGGCCATTTGCGGATCACCTGCATAGACTCTGACCCACAAAACTTTACAACCGACCATCCAGTATAGTATTCCTAGCTGTTGAGAGTAATATTTTTTGCGAAACCCGTTCGAAGACCTCGAAAATTCACTAACCACGTGCAAACTTGATTTTTGTGTTAAGTCTTAAACAGCTGTCTTTGATCGAATACCCAGTGTAGTGCATTAATTCTATTTCTCGTAAAATTTCATTTCCCATGTACCCGAGCGACGTAAACTTCAATATTATTTTTTTTTAAACTTCAGTATCATAAGATCGACGTGTATTATTGATTTACTAGTCGAAAAGGTTTTTTTTACACGTAGAAGGCTTGGAAAATTCCGTTTTGACCATTTTCCGTGTCATAATCATTCAACCGTTTTACTTCACTAATTTTGATTATTGGTAAATGTATTTTCCGTCTACAGGGAACGCTACTCAGTTACACAGATTTCATTATTACAAATTATGCTGTACCTATTTTTTCTTACCTAGGAAGGATAGCAAACTTCTTGCTTTTGTAATACTCATCTATATATTGCCTAGATTCACCATCACCATCAGGTGATAGAAGAGTGAAAATTCTCATCATAACATAACTCTTTACGACATGATCTTCTGTTTTTCTAACAAGATTAATTATTCCGTATATAAATTGTGCAAATGAGTTGTAGGTAAAAACTTTTGTTTCCTCGGTTATCTCCCTACCACTATTAGAGAAATAATGTTGCAAAAATTGCACCCAGTCTAGCTAGAAGAAAAATATTTATTAAACATTGGTTTAATATCCAAACTCTACATAATATAATAGTTCTTTAACTTACCTGAACTGTATCATTAAATTTTTCTTTGGTCCAAACGTTTAATTCTTTTAAAGTAATAGTAGTGTTTGTAAAATCTTCTACAACAACATTTTGAGAGTCCTAAAAAAAATTTGTTAGTCAGTTTAAGAGGTAAAAATTAGTTAAATTTGTTGAACGTTAATGTTGTACTTACACCATTCGTAAAGACTCTTCTTGTGAAAGCAGCAACTTTGTCGATATTATTGAACACTTGTTCATCGGTAAGAATACTTTGTGATGCGTTGCGTAGTTTTAATGCCATTTTCCTCAAGAAGATGTCAAAGGGCTGCAGAATAGGTAGGCCCAAATGTCGTTTGTATTTATTTGTTTTACCCCATTCTCCGAATCCCATTTCTATAGTCTCATCATAAGACGATCTATGATTTGGACGTATACTACCTATCTCGGAAGGTGCCAGAGTTGTGGAGTCTATCGTATAAATCTGAAAATACAGACATTTATTAATATTTATTATCTATAAATAGTGTCTCAGTTTAAACTGCCCTACCATAGTATTTTCTTTACACAGTCGAAATAACTTTTGATTTTACGTAAATTTAAGAAAAAAAAAAACATGTCAACTTTAATTGGCATGAGGACAAATTTAACATCAGAATTACAACCCCCTGGAGCCCGGAAGCAACCATCCTATTTTTTTAATAGCAAATATATTCAAGTAAAAAGTCATTTGAAAGGTCCAACATAGGGCGCGGCCATTTTGATCCCTGTGACACAGTTTACAGCTAAAGAATCAGATCGCTCACTCTGCGTCGGCACTTTTGATCTCAATGTTTCAGTTTATACACTGTGCAACTCGGATAATACAATATATGACAATCGCTATAATAAAACAGCAGTCTTCTGCGTATCCTGAATTTGTATCCACCTTGATTTTTGTAAAAAACGAGGAGCATAAAATTTTTGAATAGGGTATAAAAATAGCCTTAAAATAGTCTAAAAATATGGAATAGGTTTTAACTCAAGATTGTCTAGGTGCTATGCTGCCCTTTTTGACATTAATTTGTAGATTCTTACGTTTATCTTCTAAATATTAACAATCGGTCTTCAGTCTCAGTCTGTTTCAGTTTACACTTCGCGACAAGTCAAAGCGTGAGTCGACCATTCGCGCCGGCGTAGTTTGGTCTCTAAAAGGATCCGTGACTAATATTGGTGATTCGAATACGAATTCTTAAGAATTTCCTTGGCAAATCCGGATCACGGATCCTTTTTTTCTTAATTATTCGAATACCGCTTGCGGATACTCAAAAAGGATTCGACTCCCAGGATTTCCCGGCTTTCCCGAACTACCCCGTTTGACGGCACCACATCCAGATGGATGACTCAGCGGCTGTTTGCGAGAGCTGCAGAGACACAGATAGGGCAGGATACCATCTCCGTCTGCACAACCAGAGGATGTTCACAAGGAGGAGTTATATCCTCACTAATGTGGAGCCTAACCGTAGACGAACTTTTATGCGGATCGACTGACCTCGGCGTACCCTATCAAGGTTATGCCAAAGACAGTCATATTTGCTAGAGACAAATTTGGAAATATCCAAAGAGGCTAAGAACACACCAAAAGATGGTCCCGTGAGGTGAGACTTAGTATAAACTCCACGAAAATAACACTAGTAGCCTTTTCAAAGAAAAGAATGGTAAATGAAGTAAAATATCTAGGGATAACCCTGGACAACAAACTTCTCTGGAACATACATGAGAAGGAAGTAGTAAATAAGGCCATAAAAGCCCTAATGGTATGCAGAAACATTACGGGTAAAAAATTGGGATGTAACCCAAACACACTGCGATGGATGTATACTGCAATAGTGAGACCAATCAACGCCTAGACTATTAGAACTAGTTTTGCTACTACGAAAGCTGATATCTCAAAAGTACAAAGACTAGCCTGTGTTTACATCACCGGTGCAATGAGAACCTGTCCTACCACCACAATGGAGGTGATCTTAAACCTCACCCCTCTACATTTAATGATAGAGAATGTGGCAGAAAGGATGAAAATTAAATAGCTCTAGAACCGAAGATACTTGGGATGTATCCCAAGATGAAATGAGAATGAAGTAGAGTTTTGTGAAAAACTTCAAAACCACAGAGCTGGGCTACAAAAAAGAATGGGGCCAAGAATCCATCTTGCTTGAAACCGAAAGACATGCTATTTAGTGGTATACGGTTGGTTCCAAAATCATAGAAGGGACTGGAATAGGAATGTATGGGAAAGTTTGGGAAAATATCTAAGCATCTTCCAAGCGGAAATTTACGCTATTGAGAAGTGTATCATAGACAAAAGATTATCGCCGTTAAAGCACTAAGCTTTGACGTAATCGGCTCAAAAATGGTCTGGAGATGCCTGGAACATTGAATAAGCTAGGTGAGGAAAATACAAAAATACAGGACCTATTTGAATCCCAGAACATAACGGGGTACAGGGTAACGAGATAGTCTCGTAAGGAAAGGGACTCTAACAACCTTTGTGGGACCTGAGCCGTCCTGCTGTATCAGAAGTAACACAATATTAGAAGAGATTAAAGAATTGGGCAGTAAAAGAACTAATTATTAAAACAATCTCTTAGGTCTAAGAAAGACTAAGATACTTCTGGGTGAATACAACCAGAAAAGATCGGAAGCCTGTATTTGCTTGCGCAAGAACAGGTTACTTATTGTAACAGGGATCCTTATTGGGCATTGCCGACTCAAAGGACACCTTAGTAGATAGTAGATGCAGATTTTCTCTCTCTGTCTTTCTCTCTCGCTCTCTCTCTCTTTCTCTTTTGCTTTCTCTCTCTTTTTCTTGGTTCACTTTTTTGGAGATTAAGATAAGGCATTTCTGTTCACATTTGGTTATAACACGGTGAACATTTCTGCGAGAAACATTTTTCAGAAAATACAAACTATTTAATAGTAATGTAACTAATATAAAAAACGACTTGTCTAACTAATGTCAAAAAATGAACAATTTTTTGTTTATGGAGCTGTTTTGATATTTTATCATTAGAACCTATTTTTTGACCACCAAATTTTGTACCAAAACTATTGGGACATCTGTTATGTAAATTGTCTGCACGAAAGTTTGAGTGATGAGTTCCCTAATTTCCAGTCAACGTTTTAGAAATACTTTTAAAGGTTTAAAAAATGTAGTAGAAATAGTTATTAACAAAGGCAAAGCAACTTCTGGTGAGGCCGAAAAAGATCATACGGCTGAGGTGTACACAACATTGATCAAGTAGAGCCAATATTTTATTTCTGCATTCTTGTTTTTGGAAAGAGGCTTAAATGCAAGAATTATTTCAAATTTCTATTGATCGAATAAAAATCCATTATTAACTAATAAAATTTGAACAGAATTACTAAAGATAAGTATGATAAACCTGGGTTTATAAAAAGTAGCTGTAAAGTAATTGCTGCAAAAAAGTAACACTTTGGGAATGTTAATAAATCCATAAAATTTCATTTTTATGTCTGTCGCCTAAAAATGTATTTATTAAAAATTATGATCATCTTACATAAAGTAGATTTTCTGATGTATCTTCTATATTTGTATAAGTTAATAAATTGAACAGCATGGGAATTCCATATTTGCTAACTGCGTCTCCTATGTCATTAAAACCATATTTAATATTTTTTGTAATCGAAGGTAACTGAACTAGTGGAAATCCATTTTCTGCGTTGACTATGGCCATTTCAGGATTTTTTACTTTATTCAAATAAACTGTGTCAACGCAGGATTGATAAGCAGATTTTGATTTATTTAAAGCTTGAGGATCGTCAATGAAATCGTTTTCCGAAAGAATTTCTAAAAAAAAAAAAATAAATATAATGGAAAAGTTAAATATAATTATCACAAAGGACCAGGCAGCCGGCTTATGAAGAAATGGGTTCCGGTTAATATGCCTGAATTTTTGGTATGTTAAAGATATCGACTTCCTGAACAATAGTGTCTATAGGCACAACCTAATCCTAAGGATTTTTTACTGTAATAGTATTCTGATAACATCAAATAATATTGTTTTGTATAGAAAAAGTATTATTTGATACAGGGTGATTCAAAAATCACCAAAAATAAATATTGATGCTGTGTATTCTACTTTACAGTGGGAATATGAAAATATTAATATTTGGTCTAAATTAACTTTAGTTGAACTTATTATAAGAAGGTATGAAAACATTTTATACAGGGTGAGTCAAAAAGTTGATTGACTCTGCAAGTTATTTTTAATACAATTTTATATATTTTGTAATACAAGTCAGTAGTCGACATTGAACCATTTTCAAAAATATATAATTTATAAATTAAATACAGGGCTATTCAAAAGGTATATAAGGTAGAAAATTACGAAAATTGATTTTTTCTGCGAATCACCCTGTAATTTAATATTTCCTCCGTTAATTTCTCTAATTTTTTCATATTGTCTTTGATTTGAGTTTGTTAGTCTCCTATAGAAGTTTTGCGAAGTTACTATGATCAGTTTTTTTATATCGACTTTGTGATGACAAGCCTGTCACAATGTATACGTTTATACCTGAGCTCATAAATATGTTTTTATTTTATTTAATCATTTAGGATTTATGTCATTCTACCGTTATTTGTTAAAGGAAATATAAATAATATGTAACATATGAATAAACAATGTATTAATATTATTAGTAAGCCAAATATCCGAAGATGCAAATATTATTAGTGAGCCAAATACCCGAAGCCGTAAATATTATTATGTTTTTTCATTAGACATAACCCCATCTTATTCATAACTAAATTAGTTGATGCTTGTCGAGAAGGATATTGAAATATAACTTTAAAAAATTATCTGATACACCATGTTTAATTTTTAGGAAAAAACTTGTTAAGTATTTTCTTGTTATATTTCCATCTTGTTCAAAAAAATTGCAACAATTCGTTGAAATTATTTTTTGAATTCTTTGATATGGTTTAAATTCGTTTTCTGTAAAATTATCTACTTATAGCATCACAGTTTAGACCGTGATTGTGATTACTATTAGCAGCTGTTCGAAGACTCTGGAGAAATTAAAGTAGATCATTTCTTACATATCGACGGTTAAGAGAACGTAACTCACCATGCAATATGTTCAAAATAGTTCCGTCTTTGTTAAGACAATGCTGTCACATTTGTACATAGTCAGGAACAACTAAGAAATAATACATATCTACACTCAATAGAAAGCCTCCGAAAATTATCATTATCATGCGAGTATTGGATTTAGCTGGAAAAAGTACGTTAATTCTGAGACAATATCAAAGAATACAAAAAATAATTTCAACGAATTATTGCAATTTTTTTGAACAAGATGGAAATATAACAAGAAAATACTTGATAAGTTTTTTCTAAAAATTAAATATGGTGTATCAGATAATTTTTTAAAGTTATATTTCAATATCCTTCTCGACAAGCATCAACTAGTTTAGTTATGAATAAGATGGGGTTACGTCTAATGAAAAAACATAATAATATTTGCGTCTTCGGATATTTGGCTCACTAATAATATTTCCATGTTCGGATATCTGGCTTACTAATAATATTAATACATTGTTTGTTTATAGGTTACATATTATTTATATTTCCTTTAACAAATAACGTTAGAATGACATAAATCCTAAATGATTATATAAAATAAAAACATATTTATGAGCTCAGGTATAAGCGTATACATTGTGACAGGCTTGTCATCACAAAGTCGATATAAAAAAACTGATCATAGTAACTTCGCAAAACTTCTATAGGAGACTAACAAACTCAAATCAAAGACAATAAGAAAAAATTAGAGAAATTAACGGAGGAAATATTAAATTACAGGGTGATTCGCAGAAAAAATCAATTTTCGTAAATTTCTACCTTATATACCTTTTGAATAGCCCTGTATTTAATTTATAAATTATATATTTTTAAAAATGGTTCAATGTCAACTACTGACTTGTATTACAAAATATATAAAATTGTATTAAAAATAACTTGCAGAGTCGATCAACTTTTTGACTCACCCTGTATAAAATGTTTTCATACCTTCTTATAATAAGTCCAACTAAAGTTAATTTAGACCAAATATTAATATTTTCATATTCTCACTGTAAAGTAGAATAAACATCATCAATATTTATTTTTGGTGATTTTTGAATCACCCTGTATCAAATAATACTTTTTCTACACAAAGCAATATTATTTGATGTTATCAGAATACTATTACAGCAAAAAATCCTTAATATATTGAGAAAATTACATTTTAATACGTTTTAAAAAATGGCAATTTTTCAACTTTATCACCCTGTATGTTGAAAACTGGCCATAGGATTGAGTTGTGCCCATGGACACTATTGTTCAGAAAGTCTATATCTTTAACATACCAAAAATTCAGGCATATTAACCGGAACCCATTTCTCCGTAAGCCGGCTGCCTGGTCCTACCCATTTCTATTATTCTACATTCCATATGAATACTATATAAATAGAATATAAATCTTTATTGGTACCAAAAGTTATACATTGGGTAGTACGTTACAAAAAAATAAAATGATACAAAAGATCCATGAATTTACAAATTATTTAAAAAAATTTTAGTCTTTATGTCACTAAAAGGGATATGCAGATATAAGGCACTCTTTATTTTTCTTTTAAATAGAGTGAACGATGTAGTTTTCCTATTTTCTAGGGAGATTAAACTGTTAGTTAATAAGCATTATAAGCAATTTTTGACTGTTAAACTAGTCAGTCCTATGAAGCGGATATCGAAAAGTACCTATTTTCTGGAGTTATCGTCATGTTCAATAATGAAAGTGGAATAAAAATATTGTTAATTACGGAATACATAGCAAAAACATTCGTAGACATACAATGTAAGAACGGTTAGGAAGTTCAAGGATTTAAAAAGATTAAGACCAGCCAAAAATCGGATAGCTCTTTTACTTTCCTATCTGTATACAGATATAAGGAACGTATAGGAATCATGATTTTTTTCTACCTCGAGTTTTCGACAGATTTTTACGTTTTAAGGTCCCCTGAATCCGTTTTGACTATTTTCGCGATGATGTCTGTGTGTCGCATAACCCATGAACCGATACACAGAAAAACACCAAATTTTAAACTTAAGGTTTATTCCAGCGTCTAATGAACTGATTAGATTTTGGACATTGTCGGAACATCTGGGGGGTACTTTATAGGTGGTCATTTTTATATTTTATGGAATATATCTGGTATTTACGTTTGGAGAAGAAAATTTTTCGAATAAAAGTTACTTCTAATATTATTATCTACAATTTTTGTTCTATACAAAATTTTCCTAAAATGGTCCGTATTCGAGAAATTTGACAAAATGTAAAAAAAATATTTTTTTATAAAAATTGTTCAAATAAAAGTTGTTTGTAATATAATTCTCTATAATTTTTATTCTATACATAATTTCTCTAAAATGAACCGTATTCGAGATATTTGAGAAAATGTTTAAATTTCGAATTTTGAAGAAAACTCAAAAACAGTTAAAGAAAAAAACATTAAATTTTAAGCTTAAGGTTTATTTCGGCCTGACGTGAAATGATTAGATTTTGGACAAAGTCGGAACATCTGGGGAGTACTTTATGGGAGGCCGTTTTTATATTTTATGGAATATATCTGTTATTTATGTTTGGAGAAGAAAATTGTTCAAATAAAAGTTACTCCTAATATTATTTATTATCTATAATTTTTGTTTTATGTCAAAATTTCCTGAAATGTTCCGTATTCGATAAATTTGACAAAATGTGCAAAATTCTGATTTTTTTGAAAATTGTTGAACTAAAAGTTGTTTCCGATATCGATCTCTATAATTTTTGTTTTTACATGATTTTTCTAAAATGGACCGTAATGGAAAAATTGTAGGAAAAGTGCTAAATTTAAATTTTTCAGTATTTTCGTTTTCAATGAATATCTATAGAAAAATGTTTCGAGGAGATGTACGTGGAAAATGTATATGTTTAGTTTATCCTCTAAACATTTAAAAATGTGCTGCAATAGGTTATACAAAATAACCAGAAAAAGCCTATAATAACTAGATAGGAAAGTCATGTTTTGGACACATCAGATCTTTTTGTACTGTGTACTGCGTACAATTTTGATTCACTTTTTCAAATTCCTCTAGAGAAATTTCTATTGAGTTTGCCACAAAGCTGATGTATATGGTCCATCTAATTCATGTGCGCATCTATAATAACTCCTAAAAATTTAAGTCGCTATTCAGGTCAATATCTGTGGGATATACAACAGTTTTGTTATCATCATCATCATCGTCATCATCGTCATCATCGTCATCATCGTCATCATCGTCATCATCTAATAATGTAGCTTTGAAGTACTAGTTTTATGATAGAAAACATTCCATAGGCAGCAATGCATCATCATTAAATACATCTTTATATTCAAACTATATTATATTGTTACACTGGTTTTTTTTTAAACCAATGTAACATTGGTGACAGCGGTGGGATATATAACATAAAAATTACCTAAGCATTCTATTCATGGTAAATACTATATTCACTGCGCACGAGACAGATATGGATACTTCAGGCCCATCAGCATAGGTTTTGAAGATGGAAGAGGAAAAGGAAAGGTGTAGGAGGAAAAGGAAAGGCGTAGGAAGGAAGAAGAGGAGGGAAAGAAAAGGCGTAGGAAGGAACAAGAGAAGGAAAAGGAAAGGCGTAGCAAGAAATAAGAGAAGGAAAAAGAAAGGTGTAGGTAGAAAGAAAAGAAGGAAAAGGAAAAGCGTAGGAAGAAAAGAAAGAAAAGGAAAAGCGTGGGAAGCGATTAAAATTATAAACGGTTTGCTACAAATTCAGGAAACCTTCAAGCTAGAGGTTGGTCAGCTTAACAATAGAGTAGATCTTTTGGCAGAACAAGAGTTTTTAAAAACTAATGTAGAACAACAGCAAGAGAAGTTTAAAACTAATTTGGAGCAACAACAACAGCATCTAAAAACTCATGTAGAACAGCAGCAAGAGAATTTAAAAACCAATTAAGAACAACAACAAGAGAATTTAAAACAACAGGAAAAGGCAAGAGTAGAGTTATAAAGGAAAATTAGAGCTGAAATGGTAGAGTTAGAAAGAAGAATTCGTAGCCAAGCTTCGGTATGCAACATTGAATATGAAAACACTACAGTCGAACCAAATGACATTCAAACCCCAATTACACAGAAGAGTGACATTCAAACCCCAATTACACAGAAGCATACTTGCAAGACCCTTAAGCCAATTTAAAGCTGCATCTAGAACCAAGGGCTGCTTCACGGCTTCATTAGTAGTGTTACTTCGAGGTCAGGCCGCAACCGTTTTACAGTTACCTCCCCAAGAAGAACCCAGGTATTTATCTCTCGTCCAAGCTTTGGAGACAACATATGGCCAGCAGCATTTGAAACAGGTATTCCACAGTCAGAAACACAATGAGAGTCTACAAGAATTCGAAGCCGATACTAAAAGATTGCTGCATCTGGCCTGTCCACAGTCACCTAGATTTCTTAGAATAAATCGGCATACAAGCATTCATTGATGGACTACAGGACGTGGAAATGCAGCAGGATCTTCGGCTACAACACCACAAGACCTTGAGTGAGACTTTTATTGCGTTCCAGAAATACGAAGCAGCAAAAAGTATATCTAGATCTTCTCGCGCAAAATTGAGAGCAACTCGATTTCAAGAAAGTGAAGAAGCCACTACTAATACTGTCCCTCAACCAAAGACATTATGTTGTAATGTCTTTGCCCTCAACCTACTCTCTCACAAATCTTAAATATCTTGCAAAGCATGCAACAAAATAGCCACAATGAAAGCAAAAGATGCTTCAATTGTGGGAGAATCGGTCACCTTTAAAGAACTTGTCTAGCAGGGCTATAAATTGAGAAGCGGGGATACCAGAAATTTACCTAGATCAATCTCCTCAAGCCAGTCACGAAGTCCATCAAGAAATAACTACAGCCGATATGCCTCCCAGAAAAGCCGGTAACCCACACCTAGCCGGCTTTCTAGCAATAGTCAGGGAAACGAATAAAGGTCGACACTACGGAACAGGCGTCGGCTGTAACAGAGAGCCCCAAACCTCACAATTACACCTTAAATAAAAACGAACAAAATCCATTGGTCAAGGGGTATATAGACAACCAAGAAAGTACCTTTGTTCTTGATACTGGTGCAACCAAATCTTTCATTCGAATAGGGATCCTGCATCGAAAACCACGACCAACTCGAAGAAGCTTGGTTCTGCAAACAGCTACAGGGCACACTACACCTGTTCTAGGCGAGATATCAGCAACCATACAGATTGGTAATACCCTAATAGAACACTTATTTCTGGTGGCCGATATTAAAGATCAGTGTGTCCTTGGTATGGACATTATTCAAAATAAGTTTATCATCGATCTCCAAAATAAGATTTTGGTAATTGGAAACAAAGAAATTGCCCAAAATTCGGAGGAAAAGACAACCGATAAAGGTCCTAGTGGAAGAACATATAGAAGTACCCCAACATTCTGAAGCTCTCGTTCTACAAGGAAAGCCACCACAAGTAACCCAGTTGATGCTAGCTTTGTCAAACGGCTAGTTAAAAATTATGACCTTCTGACAGCTGAAGAAAAGTCAACTGTGACATTTTCGAGACAGGAAAATCAACAGGGCGTACCAGCCTTGTTCAGCATATAATTTATACAGGTGATGCAAGGCCAATACAGCAAGCACATAGAAGACTTCCATTTACTAAACAGAAAGAAGTAGTAAATATAATACAGGATATGATGGAAGCAAATATTATTGAAGAAGCTTTTGGTCCCTGGTGCGTATCTGTGGTCCTAGTAACCAAGAAAGACGGATCTACTCATTTTTGTGTAGACTATAGAATATTAAATCAGATAACGCAAAAAGACAGCTATCCACTTCCACGAGTAGACGACACACTAAACATTCTATCAGGTGCAAAATGGTTTTCCACGCTAGACTTGAAGAGCGAATACTGGCAAGTGGGAGTACACCCTGACGATCGAAACAAAACAGCTCTTTCAACTGGCAGCGGAGTATACCGATTCCAGGTTCTCCCAAAAACTTTTGATGAACATCTAATAAATTTGAGTGAAGTATTTAACTGATTAAGAAATGCCAATCTAAAGCTTAATCACAATAAATGTTCACTATTTCAATCGGAAGCTTATTATTTGGGACACATCGTTTCCGCTGAAGGGATCAAAACTGATCCGGAGAAAATTATCGCTATTAAAGATTGGCCTAAACCAAAAGATAAAAGAGAAATGAACAGTTTTCTTGGACTGTGCTCATATTACCAAAAATTCGTTAAAGACTTTGGCCAAATTGCTAAACCCCTTCATCGAACTGAAAACTGAAAACAGTAGTCTATTTGACTGGACGCCGGATATTGCCAAAATGCCTTCACCGAGTTGAAAAAGAGATTGACCACGGCACCCATCCTAGCCTACCCTCGAGAAAAAGGACAATTCATTTTAGAATGCGACGCATCCCAACACGGCGTGGGCGCCGTGCTCTTCCAAGAACAAGAGGGAGAAGGTGAAAACAAGCTATAAAAGTCGGTGATCCTGACTCCTATAGCAGAGAAATAGAAAAATAAAATGTCCTAGAAAAATGTAAAACACTTATGAAAAAGTCAATAATAAAAAAAAAACGTCCGGCAGAAAGTTTTATAATAGACATTATACCTTAATCTTATCAGTTGTATATTTATTGTAAAAGTTGAATTGAAATAAATTGAGATACCAAAAACCTGCGTAATAATATTTAAAAAAATATCTTAGATCTTCCGATCTGCCTCTTGTGGTCATCACGAGGCAACTCATTATAGGCATGCTTCTAATCAGACTATAACAAATAAAAAACATATCCTCGATCTTTATCTTGTGATCATCTCGAGACAGCCTCTTCTATCAGATAATTTTTTTCGCTGTGCTTCCCTTCTCATATGTTTAATATGATACCGAGACCATGCTTAAGATTATACCTTAACCTTGTTATTTAGATAAAAGTGTTTATTAGGATTATTTATAAACGTCTTACAATACTAGGTACTATTAAAATAATAAATACTCACCATTAGCAATTTTAACAATCCTGTCTTCCAGTAAAGTAAAGTGATCTACGGTCAAAGAACCCTCATCTAATGGATATACGTTTTTGAAGTTCCCACAGGTGTATTCATAGAAATCATCACATGGGTTTACGCTAGTATTCATATACATTTTTTCTGGAAAATCTGTAAAGTTACTGAAATTAGGGCAATCAACAGAAAATTATTTTGTTATTAAAAACATAGCTATTTAATTCCTTGGGGATAATGTATGCCCCTCAAATTTTTCATAAATTGTATTTATTTCTTTACAAGAAGTTCGGGTTAACTGTTGAACAAAACATAAGCTTATATCAAGGAAATAATAGTTAAACTAAAGGCCCTGAATCCAACAGTTTATAAAATTATTAGACAAATTTAAATCAAGATGGAAAAGAACATATTGAACAAGTATTATAAATTTAAAAAACCGACTTCAAAAACGTGCAGATGCCATCACACCCTCTTAACCAAATTTATATGGGACCACCATTGAGGTACCCCATTAGTAACAAAAAAGAATCATATAAATTGAACAAGGTTGTAAAGCATTATCGCTAAACATACATAGAAAATGAAGAGTGAGGATTTTCTCATGGACCCAATCATTAGATTTTGACCCCTGAAGTATCCTCTTTCTAACAAAAAAAGATTCATTGAAATCGGACACCGTGTTAAAGAATTATCGCTGAACATACATAAAAAAAATATTGCGACGAATTGAGAACCTCCGCCTTTTTTGAAGTCGGTTAAAAATAGAGGTCCATTGAAACTATAAAGAACAAATTGTAATAAACACATTCATTGAACTTTATTCGATTAGGTTTGACGTCCTAGTTTAAAAAACTGCCGCCAAATTAATAGACTTGAATATTTTCATTTTAATGATAAAATTCAAGTATTTATTTTTGCGATTTCGCATTTAATCTTTTATAATATATTACAATTCTATCTTTACAAATCTTATCCCACAATTGAAACCTGATATTATTCATGAATAATTTAAAGAGCATTAAAAACAACAACAAAAGTATTTTACAACTTCCAAGATTATTAAGCATGATTACGACTGTCGTAAGTTTTTAACCCTCAGTTTCGTTCTTAGGACTGATGTCACCAATGAAAAACCCACAAAAAAAAAAACCGAAAATAAAATCCCGAAAAAAAAACCCAGTTACTTAAAAGAAATTTGAAAAAATACCCAATCTTAATTACATTTATTTGTTGATGAGATTTTTATAATAAGAACATTACTTTTGTACTAACTGCGATTATGTCTTATCCTAAACAGGAATATTAGACTATTTAATCAAATTATGATTCATAATTAAGGATTATTTAATAACTATGTCCTCATTAATACTTATAGATTGAAGATTTAGTTTTAAGTAGTTCTTGCGGGAAACTTGATGGTTTGGCCTTTCTTCCAATATAAAATGTACGAGCAGGAATGGAGTACATAATAGAAAACTCCGGAGGTCGAAATATATTCACATATCATAAACTAGTTTGATGCCACTAACCACGAAAAACTTTTTTCCTATGACCACTTAGAAAAGTGACACATATCACACTATATAGTCCTATGGAAAGTGACCTATATCACACGCGTATGAATAAGAATTTACTTTCCACCCGAGTGAGAATAAGTTACTTTCCGCAGCAAACTATTATTTTAAAAATCAGAGTCTTCTTAAAAATGTTACATATAAATATGAAACAAGATCAATGAATAAATTAGAAGAATCAGCAGCCCGTAAAACAGTAGGACAAAAAAGCCATTTGTTTTTCACCCAAGGTTTTAAATTCACTACCCATAAAAATTTAAGTCTTTGTCGATATCTCAGTTTAAGACAAGACTAAAAAAACATATACTCTCCATGAATAGATTAAAAATAATCGAATTAACGTATTAACCAGTAACTAAAAATCAACTATAAAGTAGGTACCTACAAATAAAAAATTTATTTTTTTCTAAAGTATATTTTTTTATTTTTTGTAATAATAGTAAAAATAATTTTTATTATTCATTATTATCATCAATATTATTATTATTAAATATAATTTTTAAGGTTATTATTATTATTATTATTAATATTGTTGCTGTCATTATGATTGTTATTATTATTGTATTTTTTATTAACATTAATCTCGATAATTTAATTATAAAATTATACTTTATAGTATCTTAACCACGGACAGTCTCTGACTTTGTGGATATTTACTGTTTGTTTGTATTTTATATGTATTTTTTCTTGATTATTGTGTGTACATTTTTACAAATAAACAAATTATTATTATTATTATTATTATTATTATTATATAGTAGTTGTCACCTCCTAATTTCTATTTTGATCTATGTAATGTCCATATTAATACTAAAATCGATATGATTGTTAAATTATTGAAATCGTTGCAAATTAGATCCTAGATATTTATCTTTAACAATTATTATTAAAATATTTTTAAAATAATGTTTGCTCTTTATTCTGGTTAAATACATAACCGATTAGATCATTCAATTGACACAAGGGCTATTAGCTCAGGTGGTTAGCACGTCGAACTTATCAACTTTGCCATTTTTCGACCGCGTTCGAATCCTGCCGTGGCACAATCTTTTTTTGGTTTTTTTATTTTTTTTTTAGTTTTTTTTGTTTAGAAAATATGAAAATTGAATAAATACGATTATTGTTGATTATTTTTTTAAATACATTTTAATTATTATAGTAATAATAACCTTGGTTTTACATTTTTTTGATGACATTATTTTGTGGTCATAGGAAAAATATTGTACATCACTCGTGTGATAGTCGCACTCGGCTTGCGCCTCGTGCGACAATATTTCCCACTCGTGTGAAAAATGTCACATTCCACACTCGTAATGTAATATACTATTAAACTCATCCATTCTCTCAAAATTTAGCTCTTTCTTATTGCAATCATTCAGATTGTGTTTATTATTACGCAGACAGAGCTGTCCCATCGGCTGCCATATTAGAAAGAAGGAGACAGCTGCTAATTTGAGTGGGAATGGTTTTTTGCGAGTATGTTTATCTGAGGAACAAGCACACGTTTTATGATTGAATCAGTATTTACGTCTACTACGCTTACACTGCTGTCACCCTTCAAATTTTATGTGCGTACTTTCCCGATAATCACTAATCAACTATAATATTTGCAACAAAAAATATATATATAAACTGATAATAACTGACATTAAGAATTTAAATATACTTCCCTAATGTAATTTTTAAAGCCTTTTGTGCATTTTAGAGCCTTATTTTTAGTCAATACCGAATTGTAACCATAAACAATCCTTGTAACAATACTCTCCTACACTCTCTCATAATAATTTGTCAATTAAGTCGATGACACCGTGAACGTTTGCAATTTGATTTTTATAAACAAAATTAGTCTAGTAGTTTTTGGTCGTTGGACGATTTAAAATATTCGGAATATTCACAATTATTGTGTCTCATTATATGGGGATTATAACTTTATGTTTACTTTAAGTAAATTACTAATTAACACTTGGTAAGGAATACGGTACAGATGTAAACTATTTTGTTCTATTAAGTGTAAGCAAGTGTTAGCATTGGTAAAAGCTTCTTTCTCCAATAGTCCAATAGTTAGATTTTCTACATTGAGTGATGCTAGGTTATCTATCAAGTTTGTGCCAATATTTGCCTGCGAAATTTCAGAGGCATCTCATTACATTCAGTCTATAACGCATATTTAGGTGATGATACCATATTGCACCTAAACATATTGCACTTAAACATCTACGAGTATATTGTATTCGGTATACAATTTTCAAGTTAGTGTGACTAACTGATCCGTATAAACAACACCCATAATAATCCAAAATTGACCGCACATAGGATCTGTAAAACATAAGTGCAATTTTAGGGTCAGTTTATATTCGGCTGTCGATAAGTGTAAATATTTTTTAATCGTGATTGTTTAAAAAATCAACAATGATTGCTAAACGTAATGTTTAAGAACAAAAATAAAACTAATAATGTGGCATTGAAAATAGTTCTACAATGTGTAGAAAAAACAGAATCGACATCCTGCCGAAGTGCTTTTGGAGCAAAAAACAGGACATCATTCAGATAAATCAAACAAATAATATGAAAACAATAAAAGTAGGAGAAAATCACCTAGTCCAGTGGTCGCCAACCTCTCAATGTGTTGAGCTACTTTGTTAATTTTGGAATAAACAGCGAGCTACCCACACGGAAGCCACGTAACGCAACGTAAATGAAATAATCCACAGTTAATTTATCATTATATGTATTTATTTTACTATTTAACTGGTAATACATAATACATAGGTACTAATAATAAACTAATAACAAAATAACTAATATTACTAGTACGTACTTGTTCATAGCTACATTCCTACCTACCAAACACAAACTTTTATCCAGCCACAACGGCATGTCACGTAAGATTTAAAAATAGTTAATAATAACAACAAAAAAGTAACGCACTATCATGAACATAAACATTGAAAAATAAAAAAGCACGTTCAATGAGAAGGCTGACACTCAGACTCATCGATAATTTTTTTAATGTTTGCAGTATAATTTGATACAGCCATTCGAATACAATTATCCAAATGTTCATCTGAAGGTCGATTGCGATATTAGTTCTTAATAAACTTCATATTGGAAAAAGAAGATTCACACAAATAGGTTGAACTGAATAATGCTTTCAATTTCAAGGCAACACGGCATAGAACTGAATATTTGTCTTTACTTACAATAAGCCAAATACATTTGGTACTTGAGACTAACGATTTTAGGGCTAAATCATTTTGAAACTCAATTACTTCCATTTCTGTTGCAGCGATGTCTTCGCCAAAGTTCTGCATAACACAAGTTGCAATTTCCATAAAGGGTGAAACAACAAACTGCGCTACTAAAGCCATTTCGTTGAAATCCTTAAAACGATTTTTGAAGTTATTCTTCAGGGTAGAACAGGCTACATGATATTTGCTGTCATAGGGTTCTAATGGATTTTGAGATATTTTTTCTGAAAGAATAGGAAAATGCTTGGCATCGCTGTTAATTAGGTTTTGTTCCCAAAAATCCAGCTTTTTGATAAATGCTTTTATATCAGAAATCATTTCCGCTAGTTCT